GAAATGAGAAGTTAAATTAGGGACATCCAAATAAGGAAATTGAGAAGTTGTTTCAGGGACAGAGGGAGTATATTTTTTAGTAATTCATCAAGTTCAACCAATTCAATTTGAATTTTATCAAATTAAAAAGATTTAGTCATTTTAGTCAATTTTAATGCTACCAAACAGGCTCGAACTCAAATTTTCTCAGGCACGAACTCAAAACTTCCCATAAAAGAGAAGAAATGACAACAATGTTTGGTATACACAAAAGCTAGTGTATGCATTTGTGGCTCACGCTACATAAACCCTCTCATTTTTACCTATCTACTCTCTTAACCTACTCTCTTTACCTTCTCTCTCCCATTTGTACTAGCTCAACATTCACCATTTTATCATCTTCACCATCACCATCTCCATTATTTTCTATACGCATAATCTTTTATCTTTACCATCTTCCATATTCATCACATTCTTTCTTCATCATCTTTTGTAATCGCCATATAATTATCATCGTCAATATTAGAAAAATAACCTGAAATGGAGAGTCACCGGAATCCTTTCTACCAAGGCCTAGGTTGGGGTAAGGAATAGGGTCTCAACATTCTACTAAGGAGCTCATTCCACCTCGATCTGAGCTGCACCAATGAGGTCGAGCAGACTAGCTCCCGCTCTTGGATCTAGACAAGCACACCCGAATGAGGTTGAGCAGATAAAATCCGCTCAGTCGGGCTACATTTCCCGTACTTGTAGTCCACATTTGTTTTATACTTATATATAAATAAAACTTTCTAAATTGTGGATCCTTAATCATTACTTGTATTGTCATATATTCTGTCGAATTTAATAGACACTTTCTCATTCTAGCTTGTCTCTCTAGACTTGCCCTACACCGGGTTCTAATATATACCCATCATAAAGATACTCAAATGATAAACTACAAATGTTTTTTGAATGGGTTATCGCCTATTTTGAGAGTAATAAATCAAAGATCATTACATGAACAGACTTCGATACTGTCAGACTGTTACCCATATATAAATGAGTCGCAAAAGTCGCTAATCATGTAACAAACAAATGAAAATCTAATTTGATCATATCGATTTCTATGCTTCTAACATGGTATGAAAAACTACAACTTCTCTAAGAAATTAAAAAAGAATGAACATTATATAATAAGAAGTGCATAAATAAGCGAAATTCTAACAACAGTTGAGACTATCCATTAATATCCAGTCATAAAACCGTAGCGCCCCTCCCCTAATTCTACTGGACCTATAAAATATAGATATGTCACGCCTGATTCCAAATGTTTATTTATCATTAAGAGTATTATTTGAAAATTTCTCCTTACTCCAAATTAGTAGCTCTTTTCCATCGATGAGCTTCCTCAAGAAAATATTTTACGTACTCCGTAGTCCGTATACATATACATACTCCAGTGATACACTATCTGTTCTAAAATTTTAAACAAGTCCCTTCGAATGAATGATCCCAAAGTGACAACAATGAAGACACATAAGATTTTGCGTCAAAACAGACTGAAATCCTAAATAAAATGATCCAAAATCGAAAAAAAAAACACCAAAATTTCAGCTTATCAAAAACAGTTATAGGTTATATAACAGTGCATAATAGCGAAGAACCACCAAGTACTACTAGTATTTAACATACTAGATCTTAAATGCTCGTTAACTTATATTTTCACCTTATCAATTTTATCAGTCAAATTTTACCAAACAAGCAAAGTTATTAGTTACATTTAAAAAGTTCATATGCTTAAAAGTTGTTTTTTATATTTCAAAATAATGAAAATTGACAAAATTCTAAAATAGGAATAAAATAATAAAATATCCAGAGTAACACATTTCTTCAAATAGTGTCATTAGAACTCACCTATTCTTGTTTAGAAAGTTTATAATGATTTTTTATTGTTTTAAAATTATTGAAGTATATTCAGGTCTGTTTTTAACTTTTTTTCTTATAAAAACTTAATCGAAATAGTTCGATCAATAGCTAAGCAACGTGTCACGCAATTTGGTCGGGGCATAGCTAGAGCACTGAATCGGACATAATTGACCTAAAAAGATGTTTGGATAAATTTTTACATAGATTTTTTTACGCTAAAAATTGCATCATTTTAAAATTTGAGGTCGACTGGAGCCTAAGTTAGTCCTTAGCTATGCGTCTGTGCCCGTGGTCGCACTACCAAACGACATTAAAGATGCTCAATAAACAATCTCTTAATTTGAAAATAATCATACCTAACATGTTTATTTTTAAATTTTCCTTTAGGGAAAACTATCAATTAAGCCCCCCAACTTTTAAAAAAAAATCAATTAAACCCTCTAACTGAAAGTCAGTTCAATTAAACCCCCAAACTCATTAAAAGATGGCAAAATCTCTTTTTAGCATGTTTTCTATTAAACTCCCGGTCAAATTGGTTGAGTGACGTGTGAGGCTATGTTTAAAAAACCGACCTGACCCGGCCGGGTTGACCCGGAACCCGGTGACCCGGACAAAAATCCTGTTCGGTTTCTTCAAAACCCGAAAATGGTCAAAAACCGGAAAAACCCGGCTGACCCGAAAAAATCCGATCCGGACCCGACCCAAGAAACCCGAAAAACCCGGGAAAACCCGCTTTTCTGTCTATTCCAAAAAAAAGTAATTTCTTTTTTAATTTTAATGCATTTTTTAAACCAATAAAATTGCAATTTCAATTCCCTAAAAAGAAAAACTATGTAATATATTTATATATTTATTTAAGAATGAAAATCATGCCAAATTATAATATAAATGTACAATACAAATAAATATATATAATGAGAGTGTATATAATTATATGTTTATTATTATTATATACACGTATAATCGTTGACCGGTTTTCCAGCTTTGACCGGGTTGACCCTCCGGGTCCGGGTTGAACCGTGACCCAGTCACATGACCGGGTCGCTCACCGGTCCGGTTTTTACAACATAGGTGTGAGGTGTCATTTTTTTCTTTTTCTTTTTTCTTTGCTTTTTCTTTCCTCTTCCTTATGTTTTCTTTCCCGGTGCCCTCCATCCCTGCTCCAGTGCCTGCAACTTCTCCACTCTTTCTTTATTCCTTTCTTTCCTTCCCTACTCTCTTCTTCCCCCATAGTTCTCTGTTCACAGTTCCACAGCCTCACTTCTCCCTCCCTCCCTGCGCCTCTTTTCTGCAGCCGGCTACGGATCTGGAATCGATCGGGCCGGAGGTCTCACGGAGCACTGACGCGGCGGCGCCGACTCCGATTTGTATTCCTTGATGAAGCTTCAACGGATAACCTTTTGCGACTTCCAAGGCATGGACTCGCGAAAAGGGGTTGACCAGACCGGTGTGGGACGGGTACTTGAGTCTTGAGCATCTCCGGCGACCTAAGTTTCTCTCGGTTTCTGCGTCGCCGGCCAACGACCTATGGGTGGCAGAAGGTGAAAGATTAGATGGAGGAAGGGGTGAAGGTTGCAGTTTGCTTGAAGCCTGGAACGAATTGTCGAAGGTGAAAGAGGATGGAGGGACAGGAAAAAAGAAAGAAAAATAAAGGGAAAAAGAAATAAAAATGGGGAAAATGAAAAAGTCCACATTTGTGTCCACGTGTGTACATAATAACCGGGTAACTATTGGTTACCGGTGAAAAAGAGGATTTGCCATTTTGTAAGGAGTTCAAGGGTTTAATTGAGTAAACTTTTAGTTCAAGGGTTTGGCACATTGTTTAGGAACATAAAAATGTGTTGTCGTGGTACCAAATAGAGTAGGGATGGACACAGGCCGGGCCAGGGCCGGATCTTGAAAAGTGGAGCCCAATATTGGCCCGGTATACTCCGGTATAGTTCTGTCCGGGCCCAAACAATACTGGGTCGGGGTCGGTACACACCCATTTAATTAAAAAAAAATAGCCGTTGGGCCCGGACCCAAAAAATCAAGCCCGGAGCCCGACCCGTTCTAACCACAATCTGGGTCCCAGGCCGAGCCGAGCCTAAACAGTATTGGTCCCGGGTTGGGCCGCTCGGGCCCTGTCCATCCCCACGAAAGTACGACTGTACGAAGTAGTATAAGAAATTGTAAAGATTTATCTTGAATGAAAGAAGCAAATGTAACCTAACCTAAGCATGGTGAACTCTGAAAAAATTAACATTTCAACATTCGACAAATTATGGACAACATTTAAAAGTTTTTAATTGGATCCGATCTATCTTATTTGATTTAATCAAGTATAATTCGATCCGATCTATTGAAGTCCGATTTGAAAAACGTTTGGTGCATTGGTCTAAGTTTAGTAAACTCTAGTGCATGATTTGATCTATTTAAATCCATTTAAATTTGATTTGCTAAACGTCAATCCATTTGATAATATATGGACTTTTAACTTTTTTGATTGAAAAATAAAAAATGTACTGAGTAATATTTATTGAGACTCAAAATATAGTTACGCATTTAAATAATCTAATCTAGGGCTGGACTGAACCGGGCCGGTTCAGGCCTCGGGCCTGGGCCCGGCCGGGCCTCGATTCAGAAATATGAGGCCCGAGCCCGAACCGGGGGTGGGCGGTTCCGGGTCCGGTTCCGGGCCGGGCCGGGCCGGTTCACCCGGGTATTTAATTTTTTTTTTTTGGCTTCTTTTATTTAACCCCTAACCCTCCCCCTCTACCCCCAAACCACCCCAAACCACCTCAAATGGCCCAGAATACCTAATCCAACCCAAAACTTAAAAAATTTTCAAAAAAAAAAAAACAAATTCCGGCCCGGACCGGGCCCAAACCGGCCGGGCCGGTTCACCAAATGGAAGGCCCGGGCCCGGAACCGGTATCCACCGGGCCTTGTTCGACCCGAACCGCCGGTGGACCGGGCCACCGGGCCGGGCCGGTTGCTACAGTGGGCGGGCCGGGCCGGGCCGGTTCCGGGTCGGGCCGCCCGGCCCGAGTCCAGCCCTAATCTAATCTAATGCTTCGTTGCTTAGATGCTGCGGATGACTTCAAAGAGGGCAGGCGCATTGTAAACCTACTCGTCAACTTGCATTGGCCACCTAACACACACCAGAAAATCATAAATACATAAAATTTGAATATAGAAACATATTCCGCATTAAAATGCATTAAAGTCAAAAGTGTCATGATCACGTGAGGTCTGAAAGTAAAGAGAGACCTAATTGGGACATAACCTATGGAGGAAAGAAGAAAACCCATCACATAACATATGGCACACGTTTGTACAAGTCTGCATCAGGCAACCTTGGGGTAGCAACAGCTTGCAAAGGAGTCTTCATGTAGGTCACCATCCCCGGGCTCTCCGTCATGTCAATCTCCTCGGCCTTCACTCCCGAGGGTGGTCCCCACTCGAAGTGGTGCAGCAGATGACCCAACATTGATGTTACCAAGTTAATCGCCAGCTGTGCGCCTGGACAGACGCGCCTCCCCGCACCGAACGGGAGGAGACGGTAGTCGTGCCCCTTCATGTCGACGTCCGCCTCAAGGAACCGTTCTGGTCTGAATTCTAAGGGGTCCTTCCACACGGCAGGGTCGCGGGCGACAGCCCAAACGTTTACATGGACGATGGAGCCCTTGGGAATGTCGTAGCCACCAATCTTGACGTGGGCGCTGGCCTTGTGAGGGAGCATTAGGGGTGTAGGTGGGTGTAGCCTTAGTGCTTCCTTGGCTACACACTGGAGGTATGGGAGCTTGGAGAAATCGGACTCGGTCATGATCCGGTCAGATCCGATGACCCGGTCCAGCTCTTCATGAGCCTTCTGTTGCACCCGTGGGTTCTTTACCAGCTCTGCCATTGCCCATTCGGCTGATATTGTTGTAGTGTCCATTCCTGCTGTGATCATGTCCTGTACATGTGGATCCAAGTATTAAAACTCAACCAATTGTCCCTCTTATCAAAAGAGTCTAATCTACAAATGAAAAAGATTTACCCTGAAGTGTATCATTAGTTTCTATAGTACTCGTAGTATTAACACTTGACAATTCATCCTGAGTCCAGTTTCTACATTTATCCACCGTGTATCCATAAAGTTTGATGTTTCTAATACTAAAAAGTAGTACAAAGTTACTTACCCAAAGAAGACCAATGACAGTGTCATCGGTGAGATCATATTGCTGCTGAAGAGTGAGCAAGGCGTCGACAAAATGCTGCTTGGTATCACCAGAAGACTTGCGAGCAAGGGTGTGTTCCTCCATGATCCTCCTGGTTAGTCGGTCTCTGCGTGAAGCTTGGCTCTCCAATGCCTCATTGTCAACAGTAAATGCCCAACGAAGCCATGGGACATATTCTCCCATTGGAAGTTTTGCCCCAATCTTGATCCCATTGGACACAATGCCCTTGAATTCTTTCCCCTGTTCATCTACCTCTCCCTCAGAGTTCATGAACCTCTTTCCAAATGTCAACCTTGTTATGTTGTTGAATGCTACTGCACCCAAGTAATCTCTCATCAACAAGCTTTTGCCACTTTTACCTGCTTAGAAGAAATAAATTGATTAAAGCCATAATGAAGAAATAACCAGCATAACCTCTCATTAACATCATTCTACTTGGATGTTTTTACTCAGACAAGACCAAACTTAAACAGACAAGACCAAACTTAAACAGACAAGACCAAACTTAAACAGACCAGACTAGACATTTACCCGACTAGATTAACAAATTTCAGTTCAAGTAAAAACATTCTTACCCGTGTCACAGCCGTGTGTTTTAGTGTTTTATAGGGGTAATATTAAAGTTGATACAGTATGAAATAGAAGTATAAGAGGAGAAGAAAAGCTATAGTTACATTACAGTAATTACATTTGGATATCATGCTATCGTTACATTACATTAAATGACAAAAGCATTACCAAATTTAACTTTCAATAATAGAAGTTTAGTCACGAGTGTTTGCAAAAGATTAAAAATAATATTTTTCATTATAGGGGTAATAATTAAAGTAGATCCAGTCACTATTAAGCACTTTCTCTAAAATCATTAAAAAAAATAACTCCAAACCTTGGTCCAGGACAGTCAGCGAAGGCGAAGACAGCAAGCATGATAGTTGCAAGGTTGGTATAAGAGAGACAAAAAGGTACTAGTACTACACCAGTCTCCCTAACATTGTTAGGGAGGAGATGATGTGGTTATTAAGAAAAGTGAGTATATGTGGTTGAGATTGAATTAAAAAAGCGATAATAAAGTAAGAATGATTTCGAATTCACACAAATATTACCAAATTTAGCACTCCGTATGAGATAATCTTAAATTCACACAAATATTACCAAATTTAGTACTCCGTATGAGACAATCTTAGTAGGACAAATCATAAAGAAAACAATGAATAATCTTAGAGGGACAAAGGAAGTATAAATTAGTCTACTTTTAAAAACATTTTTTGAAAATATATAAAATAAATCTATGTCCATAGAATAGCTACCGTTTTGATTTTGCTCATTCTTTTCGAACTCTAACCGTAATAACTTTGTTTTACTTTAATTTTGAGCTTATTTGATAACATCGGAGTTGACAGAACTGATTGAATCTAATAACTTTTAAAATTTTGACTTAAACAGTTCAATAGTTCAATTGTCTGAATCTGCTAAATAATTAAAATTAAGTCAAAAAGTTAAAATAGTTCACTTCAACCTAAATTCACCTAATTCTCAAAAAAAGTGTCTTCAATTTTGATGGAAATCGACTCATAAAATTGATATTGTTTTGTACGAGTAATAAGAATAAAAAAAAATCAGGATGTCTTTACTGCTACTTCGTCTACCACTTGGGTCCACATCCTTTACCTACTTGCGGGTTGATATATACGGAGTACGTGTATATACTACGCCTAAATACTACTCCGTACAGAGTATGTCCGAATAAAAATATGATTGCTTTATTCCACACTCACCTACCCCCTGGGTCAAAGTCCTTTACCTACCACAACATTGGGTGGGTGATGTATGAATGAATTTAAATTTCAAAATAATGTGATTAATGTGACATTCCCTTAATCGTAATCAAACCCAAATGATTATACATTAATCACATTCTCATTTATCTAACATATCCAATAATCTAACATTTCCATGGTCATCTGACACTCCTTGAACCAAACATACCCTTAGTTGACTGCGTTTCCACTTCGCGGGCATCTTCTCAGTGTGTCACATGTAAGAATGTGGTGTCATTGTGTCAATTGACACCACTCAATTTTTTTTTGTTTTTAGTTACATACATAGAGTTATATTTTCAAAAATTAATTTCACACCATCTATATAAATAGAATGACAGTCAATTGACACCACTCAAATATTTTTTGTAATTATATATGTAGAGTTATATTTTGAAAAAATTAAATTGACACTACCTATATATAAACAGAATGAGGGTCAAAGTGTAATATATATGAAATAATTACATATTTATAACTAAAATAAAAATTATTTACAAAAAATGTGACCTGTTAAGTACAATTACTATATATAGCAGTAACATTAGGGGTTTTTTACAAGAACATTACTAAATTAAAACTTACTTACATAAATATGACTATTCATTACTACAACGTAGTGTTGTGGTAATGCATGTTCAAAATTTGAACATGAATTACTATAAATTCATTACTACTCTAGTAACTAATCATATTTTTGTAAATCATCTTCATTTTGGTCATATTTATATAATATGTTTAAACCCGGAAGGCCAACGCACCCAAGTCGATGGGGTAAATGCCAGAGAATAGTTACTAAATTTTATTAATAATGTAAAATAAATACAAAATGAGAGGGGCTAGACCAAAAATCTCTCTTCGGGAGGTATACATCCGCACAAATACAATATAAAACAATTAAGCATTGAATCTCTAAATCTATGTATTCAACAAAAATAGTTTTATTCCAGTAATTTTTTGAAATTTTTTCTAAATCCATGTATTCAACTAAAATAAGTTTACATGTAGTTAAGTCTAGTCATGATTAATACCTTTTACTCATTTTCAATTACTCATGCACTAGATTATTTATTCAAGACAAAGAAAATGATTCTTTCATATAAGAACCATCTAGTATCTACTTAATACTTAATGAAATAATTAATTATCAATAATAACACAAACTGTAGAAATAATCAATTCATACCCAAATATATATATATATATATATATATATAACCTATAAATAATTTTATATGTATATATACACATATAAATAATACAGAGTGATTTCAGACATCAAATAAGGCTATTGTACCTATAGAAGATGATATTCGACTCTCAAATAACCCTTATTTAATTGTTTGTATTAAGTTTTTGAGGATTTTTTCAATGATAAATTTGGCACAAGAAAATAACTTTGTATCATTTTTATTATATATTGGCTAAAGGGTCAAATAGGTACATGAACTAACTTAAAGTGTTCAATTAGCCCCTTATATAGGAGGTTCTGCCCGGCCGTCGCCAATTGGGGTGTTTCCCGGTGGAATTTTTTGATGAAATTTTTTGAGCATCTTCTTCATTAAGTCTAGTTTATCCATACCAAATTTCAGCTAAAAATTCAACCGGGAAGGCAGTCAAATGATTTTTTGAAGATAACTGTGCAGGTAAACAACACAGTACTTTTTGAAAAATCATTTGACTGCCTTCCCGATTTAATTTTTAGCTGAAATTTGATATGAGTAAACTAGACTTTATGAAGAAGATGCTAAAAAAATTTCATCAAAAAATTCCACCGAGAACCGCCCCAATTGGCGACGGCCGGGCAAAACCTCCTATATAAGGGACTAATTGCTCACTTTAAGTGAGTTCATGTACCTATTTGACCCTTTAGCCTTATATATTTGTATTGCTGAAGTAATTTTTTTGGGCAATTCTTTCTAACCTATATAGTATTGTATTGCTGAAATATGAAAAAACTATTTAAATAGCGTGTATTATTGCCGCTGATAATTATTATCATGTAAAGTATTTTTTCTATTTTAGAACATGAAAATGACTTGAACAATTGTAGAAAATGTATAATTATCAATAAATTATTTTCTATATCATTTTCAAAGTAATATGTATTTTAAAAATTGACACCACTCAAATAAATCGTTAGCTCCGCCACTGCATCTTCTAGCCGCCTCAATCCAAGGTGCGCTTGCACCCAAATTTTCAACACTTGTTAGAACATCGACCATAGTCGTATATTTTATACTCCATATTAATGAAAAATACATCTCGTTCCATTTTATAAATATACTTTCATTTTTGAGTTGTTCCAAAAATATATACAATTTTCTAAACTAAACTCTATTCCCTTTTTACTTTTCAATTTTACACATTTTAACTATAATTTTACCTTTCTACTTTTTGTAGACACATAGTCCGTTTTGTAATCCTTATTTTTAATCATAATACAATTCAATTATAGTTCGAGTTAAATATTTGTTTAAAAAGGTCACTTGATAATTCGAAAACAGGGATAAATGAGCAGTCTTAATTTACTTCTGTACCATTATCATGTCAGTGATGAATATATTTGGACAAATTCGGGTATTTTTGTAATGAGCCAAAGGTTATGGTGTCGTCCTTTTATTTGCTCGATCACAACAAGTCAGGTCATTGACTTTTGGAGTTTTTGATTTCATTTTTCCGACAATGTTGAATGACTAGCCATTTCAAGCCACAAATAATGTAGAATTCGATGGATTTGTTCTCAATTTTTCAGAATCGGCAAGAATCCAAACTCAGAACAAGCCAAATCGAGATGACGATTGATGACCAGGAAAGCAATTAATTAGGAGAATCAGCCAAGCAAACATACCCGGATTAGTACAGTCCCTGAAGATGCTCTCAACCATGGCGGTCACCTCATCCTCTCGAATCGGCCGAAGAGACTCGAGCCGCTTGGGCGTGAAGAGCTCGAGGTTGCAGAGCTTCCTGACCTTGACGTAGTGAGGCCCGTAATCGGCCCAGATCAAATCCATCCCGTTCCGGCTCAGATTCGAGGCGGATCTGGTGCGGAACCGGTCGGCCAAGCTCTGATCATTCTCCTTGAGCACCTCCCTGGCGAGCTCGGCGGTGCTGACCACCGCATTCAGCTGAGAGCCGAAGTAGACGGCGAATATGGGCCCGTATTCCTGAGCCAACTCGGCGAAGTGGCGGAACCGCACCGGTTTTATGTCGTAGAGGTTGCCGACGATGGGGAGGTGGCGAGGGCCCGGCGGGAGCTTGAATCGGAGCCTGTAGTAGAGCTTATAGGCCAGGAAGATGAGAGGGATTGAGACGAGTAGAAGCAGAGGGAGAGCCATGGAATGAAGCTGTGAGAGGTGGTGGTTAAGGACTTTTATGCATTTGGAAATTTGGTAGGGAGGAAGAACTAGACCAGAATATATACAGCAGCACCGCCCTGTTTAGGCTCTGTTTGCAAACCCTATTGAGAAGTGCTTTTAACTTTTTTAAATGATTTGGTAAAAAAGTGATTAATAGTAAAAGTTGGTAGTGTTTGAGAAAAAAGTGATTTTGAAAAGTAAAAGTTGGTGGTGTTTGGTAAAATAAGTGCTTTTTGTGTAATAGAAAAAGTAAAAAGCAGATTCTAGCTTTTAGCTTTTAAGTAATTCATTTAAGTAGAAGTTGTCATTTGAAAACATCTTTTTTAGCTTTTTTAAGCCAAAAGCTGGGAAGTGCTTTTCTAGTTGTGTTTGCAAACAGAGCCTTAGAGGAGTCGTTGTAGTTGAAAGTGGTGGTTGGATACACGATTTTATTTGTAATACCGCTCAGATCCATTGTCCGAGCCTCCGAGGAGTAAATAACACAATTTATTAAGCAAACAATTACATAAACTAATTTGGATAAAAAAGGAGATGAAAAAGAATATTTTGAAAAAGTAAACACATAAAGAGCCCGTTTGATAGCACGAAAATCGGCTGTTTTGGCTGATTCTGCTGAAATTTATGAAATTCTGGCTGAAGTGGCTGTTTTGGCTGATTCTGCTGATTCAAGAAAAAAATATTTTAAAAATATATTTTATCAATAAATTATAGAAAAAATTACATGTAAAAATAGCTAAAATAGTCCTCTACAGTAACTTCAGCCAATACAGCCAGAAAAGTAACTCCAACCTTACTTTTTCTGCTTATTACACAATTCAGCACACAAAAGTAAAAGTTACGTGTTTGGTGAAAAAGCTGGCTGATAAGCCTGATAAGCCGAAAAAAGAGGTCTCCAAACGGGCTCAAAATGAAAATAGTTAAGAGAGGATAAATTGAGGGATATTGTGACTTGACATATTGAATGGGAAAGAGAGATTTGAGCTATTTGAGTAAAACTGTAATTAAAAAAAGCAAATTATTTCTTAAAATTGAATGAGAACCGTTAAATGAGATATCCAAGTAAAGAAAATGAGAACCTTTCAACAGAACAAAGGGTGTACAACAATAAAATTTATTACTCCATTTGTCTCATTTTGTGAGATATACTTTCGTTTTTTAATTATCCAAAAAATATTACTCCGTATCATTTTTCATAATTGAATTTCACTAAACTTTTTACTTGTTTACTTTATCTCTTTATGTATCATTTCAGTCTTTTACTTTTCCAGAACTAATCTTATTTGGCAAAAAAACTGTGTTTCGGCTTATCAGGTTTATCAGCCAACTCTTTTACCATACATGTAATTTTTGTTTTCGCGCGTTGAATTGTGTAATAAGCAGAAAACGTAAGGTTGGAGTTAATTTTCTGGTTGTATTGGCTGAAGTTACTGTAGATGACCATTTTAACTATTTTTACATATAATTTTTTCTTTATTTGATTCATAAAATATATTTTATGAATCAGCAGAACTTCAGCAGAATCAGCAGAATCAGCAGAATCAGCCAATGCAACCACTTCAGCCAGAACTTCATAAATTTCAGCAGAATCAGCCATATCAGCCGATTTTCGTGCTACCGAACGGGCTCTTACTCTTTTACTTTTTGGATGTTAGAAGTGTAGAACAACCACTTTATCATTTATCTTCTTAATCTCTCCACTTCCATATAAACTCTGAACAAAATTTGAATCTAAATTGTTAATATTTGATTCTTTTGGAAATTTGTTAAATTTAATTGTTAAGTTTGTTAATTTGGAAATTTGAAACTTTAAATTGTAAAATCATTAAGAATCTGTTTGGTAATACTAAAATTGGCTGAATCGGCTGATTCTGTTATTCTAATGAAATTTTCTTAGTTCTGTTGAAGTGGTCAGATTGACTAATTCTGTTAATTTATGAGGGAAAAATTAAAATATATTTAATTAATAAAATAAAGAAAAAATCATATGAAAATAGCTAAAATAGCTCTGTACAGTAACTTGAGGCAATACATTCAGAAAAGTAACTTCAACCTTAACCATATGAAATCAAAAGTTACGTGTTTAATGAAAAGTTGACCGATGAGACTGATAAGCTGAAAAACAAAATCTCATACAAGCTCTAAATGTCAATATAAAGTTAATTTTTTGAGACAAGGATGCCTACTTATTTAATACTCCGTAGTTGCTTAACTATTATTGAGTGAAAAATGCTACGTGTACACAAGTTGTACACAAAGTGTCGGTCACAAACAATTGGTACAGAGTTGCATTTGAGCACAAACAAGAGTTGTATGTGTATACTGACAACTCTTGTCTATGTTCGGAGACATTAATTTTTGTGTAAAAAAAGTACACTGATAGCCGTCTTGACACTAGCGTGCAAATCAATCCATATGTGTGCAGTGCCCAATGGCGGACCCACTAAGGGTCCCACGGGGTCGCGGGACCCCGTGGACTTCCAAAAATACCTGTATATATTACATATATTTGATATAAAATTTATTAATAAGTGTGTAGTTATACATAAAAAGCTACGGATTAACAAGAAAGAGCGGAGCTGTCGAACGGTGGCGTGCGTGATTGTAACAATATTTACTATTTTGTAAACTTACTACGTAGTAGTTTTATGTTGACAGAGCATAGTATCAGTCTATCAGACCGTCTCGAGTATCAACCCTGCTATAGGTACCCTAATCGGTACCCCAATTTGTACCACAACCTATTTTTGTGGCTCATAAAAGCCCACATCAATATATGAATTGCCCTACTTTAATGAGGTACTTTTGTGAGCTACAAAAATAGGGTGTGGGTACAAATTGGGGGTACCAATTGAGGTACCTTTATCATTTTTCCTCGAGTATACTCCACTGACTCACTCGAGTAGTTTTTTTGTTTACTCTTTGACCTTTGCATAATTCATTTTTTAGATTACTTATTAAAATTTCTTTAGACGTTAAGATAGATCACTACATTTATGTATTTATGAATGTTTTCTCAATATTTTACTATTTATGATAAAAAAAATATTTTGGTAGTGTACCCAGATTCAAAGAAATTCGGAGTATCGAGAGTAATTCAAATGTTAATTCAAATGATTCATTATTAGTAAACGAAGAATTGCATCAAGTAATAGCTGAAAGTGAAACTAATTTGACTTATAATCTACACGAACAACATGTTGATTTTGAATCTTGTAAAGCTAATCCTGGATTGAGAAAAATTGTTAATTTTCATCCTAATTTTCAAGCCAAGGTACTCCGTAGTTACCTTAAAAAAGGACAGTTTCAAGCTCGCGATCATGATTTCCCTTTTATATATTTTTTTCCTTTACAATATCTTAAAGTTTTGATGATCTACGGATAATGAAAAGTTTTATGCTTCCTTAATATTAACTTTGTTTAATTAAATTTATATTAATTAATTAAAAAACGTTATAGTAGGTACCCCGTGACTCTGTTTTTCTGGGTCCGCCACTGGCAGTGCCCGTGTGCACAAACAATACTTTCCTGTAGCATAGACAATTGTTCATTATTTGTCTGTGTGCACAGACAATATTTACCACACAAACAATAGATAGTTGTGCGGCTCACATAAAATAGTTGTGTCTGCTATCTAAATTAGTTGTTTGTGTGATCATTTTTAATTGTCTGAATGAACAAAAAATTTAATTGTCTATATACATTCAAATGAATGATGTAGTTGTATGTGTGATCAATTTACATGTAATTTGAAAAGAATTTAAAGCATAATAAAATAGATGAAATAAGATGAATAAACTTATTTTGTTCAATGGAAAAATTTTGATATAAAAAGGTAGAGAAAAAGAGGATGAAGAAGGGAAGAGGGGGATGAATAAGAGAGAAGATCATACATTTTTTTGGGAATTCTCAAAGGGGTTGGGTGAAGAGGAAAGAGCGAAGGGAGAGAGGGGAGAGAGAGAGAGAGAAGGGAGAGAGAAGAGGCAAGGGAATGTTTTTTTTTTTCTTTTTTTGCTTTTATACTACGTAGTTGTGTAATTAGGAATTTTTCATTATTGAGTAGTCTGTATTTTTTCTCTATGTTAGCTAGAATAAGGTTACTCGTTCATCAGTTAGAGTTCATTGATGTATTTGTGATGGAGTATATGGCCCACGAACCCCCGGCCCATAGACTCCTATTTCTCCTACACTGGTCCATTGAGCTCAGGAAACAACTCAGGCCCAAATACGACGGCCCAAGCCTCAAAGTGGCCCAGAATACACACTGGGGTGCCTTCGGCCTACTTGGCCGAAGGCTCCAGAACTCACAGAATAGCCTTTTCGGCATAGGAAGCTACTGGTAGAAAACGGGCGAAAACATGAGCCTTCGGCATTGTTACGCCTTCGGCATTGTTACGCCCTCGGCATTGCTACGCCTTCGGTCACACGGGGCCTTCGGCCGTACAAGGGTCCTCACCACATGGAGCCCTCGGCTACATAAGGAGCCCTCGGCTACGTCAGGAGCCTTCGGCTACACCGGGAGCCTTCGGCTGAACTAGCTCAATCATCGAAGATTCCTTTTAGAGACAGCCAACCACCGCATTTAATACCACGTCACATCCGCCAACCGCATTCAATGCGGTGGACGTACCACTGCCGGTGCCAACCGGCTGATGTGACCCTTCGGTCGTTGGATTACTGACACGTGTCCTCTCATCGCATTTATTGCTGCTATAAATAGCAGCCCATTTCTCCTTGTAATCGACACAATCCACATCCCAACTCCACACTGAGTTCATTTAATAAAATCGACTCTCTCTCCTCCTATTTACTCTGACTTCTCTCTAGTTATTCCCGCAATAACCCCTCGGATAAGATACCCCTCGGGTAGACTGTCCATCATTTGGTGCTCTCATTGAGAGGTCTGAACTATCGAGTAAGAAACCCTCCCCCTCTACCAAACACTAAACACTCACCAAAAATGGGGAGAACCACCCGTGCCCAGTCCAAGACCCTTGAGGAAAACTACGTAGCCCCCGGCGAAACTAACGGGGCTGAGGCCTCCAACAGGCTCTTAGTACCCGAGGGTGGTGTCATCCTCGAATTGGAACAAGCCACCGCTGACCTACGTCAACAGCTGCAGAAGAACACCCCCGATGCCCGCATTGGCCTTGATAATCGAAGGAGGGATCGAAGTGAGAACCAAGTTCCCCCTCCGGCCCCGGCCATCGATCTTCAGGCTGCCTTTGCGGCCTTTGTTCAGAACATGGCTCTCAATTCCGGAGCCCTCGCCTCTCAGGCACCCCTCCAGCCCTACGCTGGGGGGAATATTATTCAATTACCACCGCTCCCTCCTCTGTTCACCAATCCTCCCCCGGGGATTGGAAACACCGAAGGGGTCATGGCGCAGGACACCGCCTCCCAAGAGGCCCAATCCAGGGATAAACGTCCCTTGATGAAGGAGAAACCCCGGACCTCTGCACTTGAGAGGCTTGGGGGAGCTCCCATACGCCGAGGGG